CGCTTTTCGTAGTTAATACTTGTGAAGACATGTTTTTTTTTAACGATAAAAAATATTAAATGAGAATGAAAAAACAAATGTATTAAAATACACTAGTCAAACGTTTATAAAAATAAATTTATATACACTAGTCAAAAGAACAAATTGTTTTGACTACATCTTGACAATAAATGTTATCTATGAATCATAGTGATTATAAGGCATTTCACATATATTAACTATGCCAGTGATATATGAGTAAAATACAATAATACAAAATAGGTTTTGACAAAATGTGTGGAAATTTGAAACAAAAATTATATCTAATTATTAAAAAAAGAATTATTTCAGCTTTAGTAAAAACTTTATTGTTATTTGAATATATTTTTTAAGATTCAAACGAGCCTTCATTTTACGACTTCAGGAAAAGTCATTCAAACAATTAATTTCAATAGAATATGATCATTGAAGCATTATGAAAAACAATCAAGTCGTTAATGCGCAAAACAGTAATTTAATTTTTATTAAAAAAATAAATAGAAAAGGCCGGCTTTTTCATAGCATAAAAAATTGGCTCTTTCAAAAAATTGTATGGTAAAAAAAATAACCTGAAATAAAACATTTTTTACCTAAACTTTAATTTAATATTATTTGTGAAAAAGAAGGACACACATATATATATAACAACGCAGAATATATGTTTTATCAAATAATAAAACATTCTTTATCTTAAAAAGAAATAAGTAAACCCCCAAAAAATTACTTTTTGTTTTCAAAATTTTTAGTGCATCCTTACGACACTATTTATTTTAGTAGAAATCTAAATTTTTTGTGGGTGACAGGTATCTAGCGTTGCCACACAAAAAGTAAAATACAATTATGGTTGGGTGCCAGTAAGTGAGATATAATAGCATCAGCTCTTTCAAAACCTGACTCTTTCATACACACTCTCCCCAAATAAGTCCTAATGTAGGATGTATTCAATTCAAAATTAACATCTTATAGTCTTTTGCTAGCAAATCCTACAAGAAAGCAGGAGATAAGGCATGTTATACTGAACTAGATTGTAACAAGGTGATCATGATGATCCTAATCCTAACTTGACCTATATATATGTGTATGTGTGTGTGTGTGTGTATGTGTATACATTTGTGCATGTTATCATTATGCTAGATTGAAATTTGGACATTTTCTCAAAAATTTTAATAAATCTATTTTAATAAATTCATTTTTTAATAATTTACATATTTAAGTTAATTTCAACAAAAAAATATATAATTCTCAACTTTACAATATGCAATTAATTTCATTTTTTCTAAAGCACCATTTTCATTTTTCAATACTTTTTGAATGAAAGATCTACTGCATTTAAATTTTTTTACCTAAATCTTGCTGTGACTGAGTCAATTTCTTTTTGTTATTAAATCATGGTTCTCTATCACTTTTCTGTTTATAGTTTCGTTCTCCTTATAAATTTTTATAGCAACAATGGTTACAACTTGTTTTCCAACAATGGTTTTGAACTTTTTTTAAAAATTATTGAATATAAGCACAATAGATTTTCTATATTAACTTAAAAATAATTTTTTTAAATTTTAAGACATTTTAATAAATATTGCAAAAACTAATAAGATGTAAACTACACCCACATGTGTCCACTACACCACTACACCCACGTGTGTCCACTCATGCCTAGTCATTTCTAATATATATTAGAACTGACTAGACAATTTTTGAGAAAACTTAATTCAAAATCATCCAAATTTCTACTGATCATAGTAATAAACATATATATATATATATATATATATATATATATATATATATATATATATATATATATATATATATATAAAATATTTGTTATAGATTGGTTTAAAAAAGATAAAAAATAAACACCTTTGAAAATTTTTAATTTTTGATATAAATGATTTTGACCCACCTATTAGTGAAAGCACTCTTACCAATGGAATCAGTTTCCCCAAACAACATTTTATTATAAATGATGACAATAAAAAACTGATATATCATGCAAAAAAATCTTTAATTTTTAAAAACCACGAGGTCTGGATAAAGAAAACAGATGGATTATTTGATGTCAAAATGAAAGCATTTGATGGAGCTGAAGTTTGCAAATTAATTGGTATTTTTATATTGTTTCAGCTCTCTCAACATTACGATAAAAACAATCTTGGTTTATACTATGACGATGGTCATAGTATAAAAATAGATGGTCTTTTTTTAAAAAAACAAAAGCAGCCAACCAATGAAAAAAATCAAAAAGCATTTTACGCATAATTTTTAAAGTAACAACCTACTTATCTCCACCCATTAAGATTGTCAACTATCTTGATGTAACATTAAACCTGATTAACAGTTCTTATTAACCATACTGTAAACCTAATAACCAACTTGTGTATATTCATTCTGATTCAAACCATCCACCTAATATAATAAAAGAAACCCCTCACATTATTGAGTTAAGATTATTGGCTATGGTAGAAAATGAAACTGTGTTTAT